CACACACACACACACTCTCTCTCTCACACTCACACACACACACACACACTCTCTCTCTCACACTCACACACACACTCTCTCACACACACACACTCACATGACTGTAGTGATGAGTTTAACTCAAACCTTGCAGACGTTGTGTGAACACTTGGTGGTGACGGGCTGGAAGGACAGCTCCTGACAGCAAACACACATGAACAGCTGCTCCACCTTACGCAGGAAGTTCTGCAGGACAACAGGAAGTCATGCATCAGCACTGCGTTATTTTACTATCACTGAAACACTATTATAGTTTTTATTCATATTTTGGATTTACTTTTATTTTTATATTTTCTGTTTCGATTTTAATTTTAGTTAAAATTTTATTTTTTAGAAACTTTCTTGCACGTTTTTATCATTTTTCTTTTATGTCTATATAGTTCTTATTTTTTGTATTTCAGTTTTAGTTGATTTAATTTGATTTTCTAGCAACTAACTGAAATAAACTAATTTTTTTTAAATATATTTTGAATTACATTTTATTTTTGTATTTTCCACTAGTTAAAGTTTTAGTAATTTTTTGACATTGTTAGTTATTATTATTTAGTATTTCTTTAAATGTCTGTAGTTTTTAATTTTTATTTCAGTTTTAGTTTTACTTATTTTAGTGCATCAAGTTGAACTAAATGAAAATTAGAAATGTTGCCTTTGCAACTCGCTGAAATAAAATAAAGTCGTTGCTGTTTTTAATTATTATATTAAATTATTTCATTTTTTTATTTAGTTGAAGTTTCAGTAATTTATTTTTTTTGTTAGTAATTTATTTATTATTTTAGTTGAAACTATTTTAGTACAAGTTAAACTAAATGAAAATGAGAAAATGAGAATGTTGCCTTTGCAACTGAAATAAAATAATTTAATTTTTAAAAAATATTTTATTTCAGATGAACTTTATTTTATTTCAAGTAAAAAAAAATTTTTCGGTTTTAGTTTTAGTTAATGGAAATAACCCTGCTCAAACAAAACTGATACTATTAGAAACTATTAAATTAAAAATGAACATGACAATGAATTTAAAAACACATCTTTACTATCTTAATTCTGCAGAATGACAATGTACGGGACAAATGTGTGTTTACAACTGTAGCTTGTTGATCCTCAAACCTACAAATGATTCATAAATAAAACATTTTTTTCTGTATGGTTTGAGTTGATCTGTAATCACTATAATTAACTTTATATTAAAAACAACAGAAGTCTCATTTACATAGTTAACCCTATAAAGCTGCTGTGTCATATTTGATACACAATGCCCTCTAAACGATCAACATGAGGAATCTTTGCTGTTAAACCTGTTTCACACTCGATCTCCACACGTCTTCTGCAGCAAATTCATATTTTTGCTCAGTTTGAGTCTCTGAATAAATTTGAGCTTCATATTCTCACTCTATCAGACTATATGAGCCACAAAAGCCTGACGAGTCAAATATGACACAAAACATAAAATACATATGAAACTTGTCTGAAGGTTTAGTGTGTACCGGTCCCTCCGACAGGAAGCTCAGCGCTTCGTCCCACAGCTTCCTGTTGGGTTCGTCGTCCTGTATCAGATTCCGCTGCTGCTCTGACAGAACGAACGACTCGTCGGGGTCGTCCTCTCTTCCTGCCGCGCGTCGAGCCGCGCGTCGAGCCGCCCACCGATCGCACCGTCGCCTCGCGCTTCGTCTTATTGGCCATGGCCTCCAGATAACCGGGAGGATACTGAGACACACAAACAAACACAGCTCACACTCAACACTGCGCTACACAAGATATGACAGCATTAATATGAGTGACATGACGGATATTACACAAGCAGCTACTGTAGTTTTGATAACTTATTTGTATTTTAACTTTGTTCTTTTTTCTTATGATTTTACTGCATAGTTTAGTGTTAAATTTAAGCCATCTCAAACATTTTATTGTTTTTCCCGTCAAAGCTTTCACAGACACATTATATGTTTATTTTATTTTTATGTTTTTTTTACACACACACACACACACACACACACACACTCTCTCTCTCTCTCTCACACA